GCGAATGAATAGAACAAGGGTAAGAAGTTGTGAAGGAGCGACCTGCCATGTGCTACATGACTAGTTTATGAAGAATACCTTTTTGTATATCTCCGCGTCTTTCAGTGCTGTAACTTTAATATGGATGGGTCGAGATTCATATGCCAAGCTGAATGAGATTAGCGCGCAAGATAGACGGCCGAGGCAGGTACCCACGAGACTAACGTCACCACATCAACGACGCAGCCAACGAGTCTGGATTGAACAATAAGCCCCGAATATCTGTGTAATCCTCGTCAGATTGTCACGATGATGCAAAATCATACATTAGATTAGAAAGTGGGGTTTGTGCACCTGCAAAATGAAACTGTCTCACGGCCTCGCGTGATATCAGGACGGAGAAAGCATGAGTGAAGCTACCCGTATAGAAGAAAGGGCCCCATCATCTGCTATTATCATCTCATACGCATCTCGTCTATGATTAGATGCAGCAGTCCTAAGTCTATCGTCCCGAGGGGGTCGGAAACGTCGTATCTGCGGACACCAGGTCCTTGGTAGCGAAGCACGGGAGGCAGTCTGATGGACCATCAAGTCGACCCTCGAATTCAATTAAGAGCGCAAGCGCTGAGAGTAACGTGAAGATGCCCTTCACAAAATCATCTGAGAGGAAGCAAAGGAACAAAGCCTAGAATCAGGAAGACAGTAATGAGCGCGATCCAGTCGGGCCAGCTTGAATGCTTTCACCTTAGTTATGCGGAGAATAGATCAGTGATACTTAAAGTTATAGGAGACAAGATAATCAATCTCCGTGTCCGTGACTCGTCGTGGGGCGACTACAAAGATCGGACATTGCCGAGCCGAGTGTAAAGAGGTGAGCTTCCAGTCACGCCAGTCGAGTGCGAACCCTTTCTATTCACTGAGAACGGGTGCACACGATGACGGCGTAAAGAAAGAAGCTTAACTATCACGTGCTACGGTAAGTCAGAAGTAACCGGTCCGTTACACCGAGGGTCACCATTCCGCTCAGGCTGCTTCCTCGGTCAATCAGGCTTCAGCATACAGATACCCTTACATACAAGTAAATGTTACAGTTATGATGATGCGCATTCCCATATTCCTGTTATATGACCCGACTCCAACTGGCAGTTATCAAGGGCTCGTTATCTCGAAGGACCTGGCATCAAACTGCTGGCTAGGTTGATTCTTCTATTGTATTTTTGACTTCCAAAAAGCCATTGTCCAAGGAGAAATTGTTAAATAGCATGAGAAGAGGAAGCAGGAGTGGAATGGGAGGGTCGCTAGGACAGAGGCAGAAAGCAAGCTCGGTGGAAAAACAACACATCCAAACAAACGCGTCGCGAGATGCCCTGGCACAGCCACTTCGCCTCTTAGGCTCCACGCTTCCACGATAAGGCTTTTAAGTAGACATCGTACTGATTTATTCAGCGTTGAACTCGGCGAGCACGCGACTCTACATGTCATAATTCAAGCGACATTTTGTTTCTTAACGACCACTGTGTCTCTACTTGAGTCACACCATTGAACAGGCAGCTGAAATTGCGCACTCCGACACAGGTTACGTCTCTTTTCCGTGCCCGTGAGCACTACGATCATGAAATCCTGTAGGTTTGGACTCCAAATCTCATTGGAGAGTATTAGAACTCTAAACAAACATCGTATAGAAAATACAGTTTTCATATGGACACCAAAATTGACTGAGTGTGCAACAGGATGTATTCGAGAGTTACAGCTGTTTTCATAATTATGCGGAATCCGCGTTTTAAAAATCGTATGTGCTCATGTTTGGATCACATGGTCCCGGCTCTCTTTCTTCCCACTATATCGTTCCCTGAACTGCTGAACGTGCCCGCCTATGCTACAACGCCCGTTTCCTGCATCCAAAGTCATTTACCGACTGTGTCTACTCCTCTGGCATGCCCTATACTCCAAGTCGGACCCTAGATGTGTGACGAACCTTGGATAGCCATGTCTATATGCCAATGCTTGATGAGCGCTTCAATTCCTGACGTGACACCAAGGTTGTATCTATCTCGACTCTCTCTCACAAATCCTGATTATTCTGTATATATTTACAACGGCAGCTAGGATCCTATGAACATCTTCATGGCGAGATACACTATGCAGTGTCGGACTCCCCGTAACACTGCTGCCAGTCGTGGTCCTGGAGACGCTTTGAACACCGACAAAGGTATCCCATTTTCCTTGCCCATTATTACTGACTTCAGGAGACTCGAAGTGCATGCATGTATGCGTGATGTTGAACTAGGCGGCGCTGCGGCTCGCTACGCAAAACCGTTGTGATTGGCATGAAATGGCTTTGCGGTTAGATAGCAGAGGATTTGTACTAAATAAGTATTGAAATGAATGCTCTTGCGCACTATTTATTACATTGACTGTCTGGTGTATCGAACTTGGAGCAAGAGCGGGATGCAAGGCAGCGAATTGTGCCAATAAAAAAGCAATAGTTCTCGCACCGAGCCATCTTGTGATGCAAACAAGACCACATAAATTTTCAAAACGGGGATTCCGCATAATTATGAAAAGAGCTATAAGAGTAAAAACGTGTTGGTCTGATCTCTGTCCGATAAACTCGATGTCTAAAAAAGGAAAGAATGGGGGCAACAGCTTCTGCCGCTACTGGATTGTATTCTATAAATATACCTCCCTCCCATAGATCACAATCGATGGGCATTTCCGAGAGTTTCCCCTGATGCAGCCAGTCATTCTCGGAATCTCCTTTGAACGACACACGTCCACCACTCCTCGCCATGGTCGATTTTCTGATCTCGTTGTGTTCCACGATGTTGAATCGATTCTCTAGGGCGAAGGGCTCTCCAAATATCTCGTTTACAAGCCCAGCGGTCATTCAACCATCTACTATTATCGGGATGATGAGGCCCTCTACGCCTCCATCGACACATACCTCGTTGACACTACATGGGTGTCGAGGATGTCTTGGGAGAACAACACCGACGCAACGCAGACGTACTCCCTCCAGTATACCACAGGGCTCAAAGTCACCAAGGGTGATGAAGTGACCAGCTCTGTCGGGATCAAGCTCAAATTCGACGGCATGTCGATAAACACGAATATGCAGGTTAAGACGTTCTCGACGTACGAGACGACAGAGACCGAGACCAAGACGATCACGCTGAGTGTCCCTCCCAAATCCACGTTGTTCTTCTACCAGAAGAAGTATCGGTTTAGAGACACCATGTTCTTCATCTTGGATGCGTGGAACGAGGAATGGAACGTTGGGTCCCCAGGTGGGTATGAACTCACGACGAAGGAATGTGAAGTCGAGATTATGAGCGAGGAATATCTGACTATGGATGTGGCGTTGTGGGATTTCGCCCCGGGCACGATGGATGTGAAGAGAGTCTCGAGGGCTGATAGTGAGGATCTGAGGAGGACGAGGAAGCGTGAGAATCTTACCGCGAGAGCAAAGAGGGAACTTTCCAAGATGGGTGTATAAAGGTAAACTTTTTGAATATTTCATAATGCGATTACTATAGCTGATGCATTTCCACAGAGGAGTCGACGATTATCAACTCGTTTTCATTTGTCCGTACTTTTCTATTCTGTTGTTGCAATTTCCGGTATTCAGGTTTTTGCGTTTGACTTCATTAACAAAACCAAGCAAAAAACCATATTAAATGATGTATTACCTTTCGTTTATAACGCTGTTCCCGCCACCTGGGCCTAGTGATTCAGTCTTCAGCTTCTCTCAATTACGCTATGGTATACAGTCGTTGGTCCAAGACATCGGTGAAACCGAGTGAATGGTCTTTGCCGGTCATGTAGTATGATGATTTGCTGTATGCAGAGGGAAGGTTATAAAACAAACACGTCGTAAGATCTGGGTCCACTTGGAGCCTCTATCCCTGTTAGCTTCATCCTCAAAGATACCGTCGAAAAAGGACAGGAAGAAATTCTGTGTGTGGAATAGACCGGGAATGTAGCGTGCTAGACTCCACATTCTGCGTGTGTTCTCAGGAAACAAAACAAATCCTGTCTTTTTCTGGAAGACGCGAGAGGATGATAGGCTATTGCGGCGTAGTCAAATGCGAGCCATGAGCCCATTCATCGCTGGCGAGTATGAGTGACGTACCTGTTCCCCGTACTGGAACGAATAAAAGTGGGTGAGGGATAGTACGGTACGAAAAGGAACTGGACGCCGCACGCAATGGGTGGGAATCACAGACCCTCAACATGGAGTGCCGGGGCGATTGGTCATGGTTAGTACTCACATTTTCTCCTGGCTCGCGTTAGTAAATTGAATTATAACGACAATCAAATGCTTAGTCCGGCGAAGAGTACCTGTATAAAAGACTCCTTGGACGTGGATCATACAAAGGATATAGATGTGCGTAAATATTGGGGAATCGGGGTCGAACGAGGGTGAGCCAGGAGTCATTTCGTTCGGGCATGCACCCAACGATGTTAAGCGCAAATTGTTCGTACGCAAAACAATCGGAATGGATCCAAGGTCTATTTACTCTGGCTCGTCGAATATCAGCCTCGATGCTCAAGGGAAAAAAAGAAAAACATCTCTATTTGAATTGACAGGAGCGCGCGACAACTCCCTGCCCCGACGCTTCTGGGCATGCGCAAAACACTAGTAGGCCTGAGGTCAAGTATATATCGAGTACTTTGAAACGAAACTGGTGTACTACTCACCTGATCATCTCTTCTTGTTGGGCTGGGGAGTAGTGCGATCATTCGAAGTTCGAACTATACACGCAACAGAAAGAAAGACGTCAACGGTCCTTATTACCATGCCGACGCTTCAGGAATGCGGAAACTCCTTGACACCAGACCCCATGTTGATACACAGCAGGGACATGTATGATGCTTAACAAAGTCTCGACATTCGACAAGATAGAGAGGCTAGCCCGTTAACATTGGACAATAAATCGGTGTCGGAGACTTGGTCCTTGGAGTTCGACTTGGACCCGGGTTTGAATTCTGCGAGACAAAAATGTTTCTGTATTCCAAAGTAGCAGCAACTTGTTTCGATCAAGTGACCTCGGGGTTAATGATTCTATACGCAAGGCTCATATGGGCCCCGCGCGCTACCACTGCGCCATGCTGCTATAGGACAGGTCATACAAAGGTAGGGAATGAGCTCGGGTTTCGTAAAAGCCCGCCGAGAATGCCTAAAATTTTTACCTTGATCCTGAACACCCTCGACGCGTGTGTCCCTGCACGTTCAAATACACACCATCCAGTGGCGGCGCCCGCTCGGTATTGATGTCTTCCTCGAAAGAAGTAGACCAACGACGGGGAAAATTGACCTTCTCATGTACTTGCAGCCTTACGAATTCCGCATGGGAGTCTGGCCATGTAGGGTGTACGGCGGCCGGGACTTGCTCGTGGGAACCAGAAATGCTTGCGGCGTCGGTAGGGTTCAAGTGACTTTACGTCGCACGGCATGGAGACCAATGAAACACGTTCCATCGTATCATGTTTTTCACGAGATGATTGCATGGCTGTGGGAAGGCGGGGTCGCTCGAAAGTTGGAGAAACTTCATCCGACTGATATCATTGTTAGGATCAGATGTGGTGTCGAACAAGAACAAAAATGCATAGCGTTCGAATTTTATTCTGTAAAAGACGCCAGCCTACGCTCAAACGAAACGGAAACGATAATGAAGGCTGCGATAATGAATTAAGGTTACGTTCATTCATGACGTGGTGTCCAGTTCATTCTGCGGAACATACCGTACAGCCACCGCTTGGCCTTCCTTCCCGCCTCCTTGTTTCCAACTCCCATCAACGAAATCATGATGCTGCTAGGTCTCGCTTCCCACCGCTTGGCACTTGTCCAGGATTCCGATTTTTTTTTGCAGACAGACAGCGCCTGCAAAGAGGCCCAACGACAACTCGACCCGGTAACCACCCAATCTCCCATTTTCCCTAGGATTCTCCCGGATTCTTCTGGATTGACAGCAAGACACCGTGAAGCCTGAAAAAGGAAAAGAGAAGCATGGTTACACCACGTGGCTTCGTATTCAAATAGCTTCACACAGAAAACTTTCCCCGCTTCCCACCCTTTGCACTCTTTCCTTGTTGCTCTCGTTGTTGTTGGTGCCCATTCGCGATGCTGTCCTCCATCTTTGCTCTCGCTCTCCTGCCCTTGTCGGCTCTCTCCCTCACTGTCAACAGTCCTTCTACGACAGTCACGTCGGGCGGGAACATCACCATTACATGGTCGACGACCGCGAGCGACCCATCCACGTTCCACATCGAGCTGTCGAACACAGTTTTCAACAGCCAGTTCGCTATCGCGAACAACGTCAACGCCAGTGCAGGAACGCTTACGGTGGAGCTCCCTGAGGTTGTCCCTGGGTAAGTGCGATTGCTCGTGTTGTCCGTGTGGAGCTCATTTCCGTTTGTAGGAGCGGCTTCGCAATTCAGTTCGTGAACGTTGCCAACATTAGCCAAGTGTACGCCGAGACCAGCGACTTCTCGATTGCCAATGCTGCTTCTGGTACTGCTTCGACGGGCGCTGCCTCAACAGCCACGGGCTCGACGGGTGCAACAGGCACTGCTTCAGTCTCTGCGAGCGTATCTGGATCAGTTACCAGGACTGGGTGAGTTTTCTTTTTCCTTTCACCATCCTCCCTGTCCCCCCCCTCCAGCCGTCTTTTCAAAATCGGAGCCTATTGTTTAACATTCCCTTATTCGGAACCTATTTACTAACTGTCAACTTTTTTTTGTTTAGATCTGCTTCCGCGGGGTCCGCAACGTCCACCAGGCCAGTTTCCGGCTCTGGATCCAGCGCTTCTTCCTCTTCCTCGGCTTCCACGACTTCCAACGCCGCCTCGACACTCCAAATCGGCGGTGCTGGTATCTTGGCTGCCGTACTCGGATGGGTCGTTGCTGTCTAGTTTTTCCGTGATTGGTCTGGGTCGGTGGTTATCGGTTGTACGATTTTTTGCATTACGTTCCCCTCCCCACGAACCTCCACCCTATTTACGAACGTTCAGTATATTTATTGGACACTCATACCCCCATCTCGTACCCAAAATGACTTTTTGTGTACTGCCGCTCCGTACATATGATACCATAGCTACCGCCCTCTGCTTGTCATTGTCAAACGCTGTCATTTCCTAGCCTGTTGTCATTTTTATCATTTACGTTGGTGTGTTATTTCCAATACTATACTATCGGGGTCGGCGACGTCCATGTCACTCATTGTGTTGGACTTTTCTGACTTCTCTTCTTGATGTCGACATCCTTGTTCAATTACTTATAAGGTGGTGTCATCCTGTATGATTCAATTTGACATGCGCTTAGGGCTTGACTGAACCAAGATACCAGTGTGCTGTGTGTAAAGTGGCGTCCTTACGGTTGAACGTACGTACATCACTCACTTTATACTTTCGTGGCGGGTGCAGTAGAAGCTCGAATTCAAATCCCTCGGTCCCGTGAGTACGTTGAAGACCGGTCGTCCGCATCAACTAAGGGCTTAGCGGCCAATCGTTTCTTCCAGCCAAAGAAAAGAAAAAAGAAAAGAACCTCCGAACTTTCGTCAATCACCATTTCCTATTATCGTGACCTCGCTTATCGCTTGTTCCTGGCGCTTTACGTGCGCTTTATTTTCGCTCGTACGATGTCGCGTTAAAGAGGGGAATAGCCGGTTCTCTGAGCTCTCCATTTCGAAGATTTGGGTTCCTTCCGCCGGCGTTCAAGCTTTGCAGGTAATGTGAATATTGAGGTTATTTAATGAATGGGGACGTTAATGGAAGGTATAGTGGCCCCAGTTCTTTTATGTAGAACTTCCTGAAGGACAAAAAGAATAACGCTCAGGCTTGATAATGATAAGAGATAAAGGAAGAATTCGACGTTCGTATGCGTGAAAGCTTCCTCGGGCGTTGCCGAGTGTTGCTGCCATGCCGCTCGGCATCTCTCGCGGTCGACCTTCTCTAACAGTGACTACCAACAAACTTCGCCACCAGCGCCTATATCTATTGGTCCATTGATTGCCCGTACCAATTCAACCACTGATCATACAACTGTCGCTGTCCAGGAGCAAGAAATCCGTGTTCGCACGTCGCTGCCGTGGCATATTTCATGTGGAATTCCTTGTATGCTCGCTTTGGCCCCGGGAACGGCGACTGGGTGGTAGGGCGTTATCTCCATACCGAAGCCTCAATACCGGATGAAAGTGAGAATGAGCTTACCATGTGTACACAGAACTCCCTGGACTTCGACGGCACTTCCGATTCACTATCTTTCAAAGGGCTTTCATTGTTGCGCTTACTAGGTAAGCGAAAGACTGGATTCCTGATTTCTTTGGGCTAACTGTTACCTCCTCAGACATTCCTACAGCACCACGGTAACAAGACGGTTGAACATGGAGCGAGAAGGGATAAGTAACGCGCTACGCCTTTCTCCCCAGTCAAAAGTCTGTGGACGTGAGTCGATTACCACATATATCTGCACGCCGACGGGTATGTGATATTATTAGAGTGGATGGAGGGAGGAGCGATGGAGGGAGGGTGCTGTGGCTGTGAGGACGGGAGGACGGTTGTCTTGGGGCTGTGGAGGGCAATCTTCGAGAGTTTTGACGGAAGTCGTGTCAGGATGCGGACGGGGCTTGGGTCGGACAAGGGGCATCGCGAACAACGTCAACACCGAGGGGCTCGACGGGTACAGCACACGTCGCTTCAGTTTCTGTGAGCGTATCCCCCCGGCGTCTTTTCAAAGTCGGAGTCTGATGATTAACTTTCCCTTATCCAGAATCTATATACTAACTGTCAACTTTCTTGTTCAGATCTGCTTCCACGGAGTCCGCAACATCCACTAGACCAGCTTCCACCTCTGGATCCAGCGCCTCTTCATCTTCCTCGACTTCCTCGAGCTCCAACGCCGCCTCGATACTTCAGATCGGCAGTGCTGGTATCTTGACTGTCGTGTTCGCATGGGTCGTTGCTATTTCCGTGACTGGTCCGGGTTCGTTGTTATCGGATGAACGATGTTTTGCATTACCCTCCCTCACCACGAACGTCCTTCTTACGAACATTCAGTATGTTTATTGGACACTCATACCCATCTCGTACCCAAAATGATTTTTTAAATGTTCACCGTTCGTGTTGTGATCAAGTTGTGATCATTTACAGTCTTAGTTTTCAAGTGCAGTTCAGTGGGTTGGCTTTGATTCACCATTGTAAGAAATCTACCTCAATGGGGGTCTGAAACCCAAGGACAGAGCACGATCTGTGTATATTAGCAGAGTACGAGTCAGTTAAAAACACGAAATAGAGGTAAAAACCAAAGGTTGAGGCCTGAGGCCGTAACAGGCGCATACGTAGCGGTAAAGCTGTAGATAAACAGAAAGAAAGAAATGTCATATCTATCCGGTCCGTAAAGAATCCATATCCTTACAGCCATTCACTACTTCCAATACACCGCCGACAGAACTCTCGGGCCGTCAGAAAAGAGGACCCTCGGCAGTGGAAAATAGGGCGTCCTTCACGCATTCGACGCGTCAGTATCCTTGTCATCCTCGTCGGAGTCACTCTGCCAAAATGCTTCAGAACTTCAGCTGTTGGAAACAAGACTATTCACGTACATCATCGAGGTCGCTCCATGGTGGAGAAACACTGAGATGCATATATCAAGAAGGGAAGTCTCAAACAAGGATACACGTACTCGTCAAGCCCGCCGACTAGCGGCCAGAACTTCGAGTCATCAAAATTTTCATAGACCGGTGCATCATGGGTTACACTTGAAGGAGAAAGAGGAGTCGAAGAAGCGCTAATAGAGATGAATATATCAAGAAGGGAAAACTCGAACCAGGATACACGTACTCGTCATGCTCGACTGGTTCCCCGGGCTCACTAAATTCTTCATAGACCGGTACACCATGCATATCGCTGGAAGGAGCAAGAGGAGCGGGAGGAGCGCTAATAGGGATGCATATATCAAGAAGGGAAAACTCGAACAAGGATGCACGTACTCGTCAAGCTCGACTGGCTCCGCAAATTCTTCAGAGACGTCTGAACCATACTCAGCAGCAGGGCTAGGAGGGCTAGGAGGGCTAGGAGGGCTAAGAGAGCCAGAATCGTCATAATCCATAACAAACGTA